CATATGATTTCATAAACTTAAGGTTTCTAAGGACTGTTCTTGATGAGTTGGGGTTTCCAAGGAAATTTACTAAATGGATAATGGGATGAATAACTTCAATTTCTTTCTTTATTCTAATAAATGGGTTTCCTACCCCTCCTTTTAGTGCTAGGAAAGGGTTGAGACAAGGTGATCCGATGTCTCCTTTCTATTTTGCAATTGGAACGGAGTATCTTTCTAGGTGTCTGCATGAACTTTCTTTGAAGGCTGATTTTTTATTGTTTGCCAGGCTAACCTTGCTTCTGTTCAGTTACTTTTTCAGGAATATAGTAAGTTCTCTACTGCTTCTGGTTTGTCTGCTAACCTTGACAAGAGTGAGATTTACTTTGGTGGTATTTTGAGGAGGTGCAATATGTTTTAGCTCAAGCCATTGGAGTGGGGCAAGGTTATATCCCTTTCAAGTACCTTAGTGTTCCTCTCTCTTAAAAGAATTTCACCATTTCTCAGTGTACACCTCTGGTGGAGAGAGTGACTAGAAGGATCAATGGTTGAACTGCTAGGCATCTTTCCTTTGCTGGAAGGCTTCAACTGGTTAGAGGGGTGCTTTTTGGGATTCAGACTTATTAGGCTCATATTTTTGGTCTTTTCCCTTATGTTAAGCATCACGAGGCTCCGTGGTCGCACACACCTTCTAGATAAGCATACAAGGCTTGTGGTTGCTGCTACGCGTAGGTGAAGCTGTGCACTCAGTTGTGCGCGTGCGAGGAAGTGCGAGCTGCTGCGCCCGACAAGGCTCTCGTGTGAGGGGGTACGAGCCTGTCGTCCCCCTTGCTACTGTAGCCCATTTTTCTCGGCTCTCCTCTTGACTATATATGTAATAGACTTTCTCTTTTTGGAATTAAGTAGATTTTTAGTATAATTTTGACTTCCTTATTATTGAGAGAGAAAGTGCATTTTAACATTGATTCATTAAGTTTTAATACAATTCAAGCTTTGATTTAAGTTCTTCTTCTGTATTTTCAATCTTTGTTAGTAGAATCCTTTCTAGGGGAAAGGGCCAAAAATCATGATTGATGGTGATTTGACTTTATTATTTTACTTACAGGTAAGATTAGTGCCTAATATGACTTTATTAATTGTTATTTCACATGAACTATATCTTTTTATAAGTTAAAAACCATAGTTTATTGTTTTGGATTTGGGTGAAAAATTATTACTAATATAGGAATATGTATATTAAAGATAACAATCATATAATTTTACTAGATTGAATAATAAATGCCTTTTTCTATTAACATGATCACTTGAACAATGCATGACATTGGAGTAAATTGTCTCGATTAGCATAAAAGTTAAACCTAGTAATTAATTTCAATTGATCGACTCAATTTGCTTACAACCGGGGGTATGTTAGCATAGTGAGTCCATGATTGATGTCTTTGTTAATGTCCTGTTTTCACTACTAAGAAATGAAGGGGGTGTACATTTAGTTAATAACTAATTCAAGATGTGTTTATGCATTATCTTAATTGAAATTTTTCTTATTTTACAATAATTTTACAATTCAATCTCCTTTTTAACCTTTTATTGCACTTTTTTTTTCTTAGTTTAGTATTATTTGTTAGTTATTAACGTTTTCTGACTACTTTCGTAGCTTATTGTTTAATTAGTGTAAGCTAGTGTTTTGTTAGTCATTATATTGGAAGAATAATATTACTTATGATTATGGTTATTTTTGTGATTAATGAGGTATGTTTTACTTTAGGTTGTTTATCATCGTATAAATAAAGTCACTATTTGAGCTTTAAGAAATAGTTTGGTCATACTCTTGGACAATAAATCGTAGTTCAAGCAATATAAAGAAGGTAAGCTTTGGAAAAAGTCAAGTTAACTTTGTTTATTCATAACTTTTTTCTTCTCACAAGAAGTCCTAATATAAAGGTTTGTATGTTGGACTTAACCCTATCTTATATATGTAAGTATCAATTGAATGTTTTTCCATGATGCTTTACCATAATTTAGATTATTTTTTGTGTAGAGAATAAAAAGAACCACCCCCCCCCCCCTTTTTATCTTTTAAAACTTACCATGATTATTGAGGTAATCTCTTTGGAAACCTTCAAGAGAGCATTACTTGTCTTATTAAGCGACTAAGTGGTAAATTTAGCTTGCTATTAATGCTAAAAATATATCAATGATTGATACAAAAATGAATTTTGATTTATCTCTTTAACATTAGGGAAAGTTGTTGAGTCTTTAGCTGATTTTCAAAGTTGTGTGTTCAAACTTATGGGAGAATGGTTAGCCATATTTTACCTATCCTAGGGTTATTTTTTTCCCAATTTTTATTGGAAAATCCTCTTTGGTAATACCGTACTTTTAATTTTTCTCTTTGGTAAAGTGTGAAAGTTTTGATTATCAATGCTAATCAACAATTACTATTAGAAAGCAAGTTGTGACTTTAGTTAAACATTATATTAATCTCTTAACCATGGTTTAGCAACTAAGCTGTAAAAAAGACATAAATACCCCCAATTAATTCCGTTCCAACCAACTAATGTCTAATCATGTTTAGAGGGAAGGGTGTGGCTTTTCATCTTCCTTCATCAACACCATTAATTTGAACTTCATTGTTGTTACGAAGAATGATTTACGAAGAGCATCACTTTAAAGAAAAAAAACGAGAGCTTTTTAATTAATCTAGGTTGTTTCGTAAATTGCAAGGGTTTTTAATCAATGATTTTGGATTTTTATGGGGGATTATTTGGTGATTTTCTGGGGAATTGTTGTAGAAGATTCGTGAGGGTATTGGGTTTAGTTACAATCAATGAATGTACTTTGGGCTTTAAAGTTCCAAGCTTTGACCCTCATTGGAACGAATTTACATCTTTTAATTCGAATCAAAGCCAAGTACATTATCGAGGAATATTGGGGTTTTTATACGGAATGGTCGTTATGGTGAAAGCCCTCGCTGAAATAGAAGAAGAACTTTACTATGAAAAACTCTAGTTAAAAAGTGTGATAATGGAGGATTGTTTGAGTTATTACAAGGGATTAAGGAGCAATCGAAATAGGAGTGAAAACAACCACTATAGATTAGAGGGAAATAATTTTTTAAGGGTAGAATTGTAAATTCTTATTTACTTAACCAAGATTAACCCTTGGTTAGTTGTTTAGTGGTGTATTATTGTCATTAATGTCACCACATGCTTAGTAATAAAAATTGTTGATTACTATTGATAATTAAAACTTTCATACTTTACCAAAGATAAAAATTAAAAGTCTAGTGTTACCAAAGAGAATTTCCAATTTTTCTTTTTATTCAACCTTTATCCCCTTTTCAATGAATTCTAGATATTTTATTAATCCACCTCCCTTTTAGTAATAGTTTGTTATTTTTCTCCTTTCTCCTCAAAAACAAAGCTTTTTCTACCCCTTTGACCTTAGAACATTTAGAAAACTTTCCTCTGCCTTCCATCCTAGATTAGTTTGAACACTTCTTTTTTGCAAAAGAACTACTATTATTTTAATACATTTCCCATTTCACTACCAAGAATTCAATGCCTCACTTCTTTCCACATTAAGTAATATAATACCCTCTATCTTCTACCAGATAAGCTTTTATAATAAAATAATGTTATACTATATATCTCTTTTTGTATCCACTATCCTATCAAATAGTTACTTTTAAATTTTTTAGCATACAAAGGGGGTTTCACGCCTGCTCGCTTCTTCTATAAGATTTTAAGCTCTAGCGGCTTGCAAGGGAGAATGCTTTACTTTATATAAGGCCACATATTAGAGCATCTGCTACAAATTTAATTAATATTTTTTTTCAAATGTGCAAGAGAAGAATATATACTTGAGATACAATTAGGGTTTCATCATAAATGAATAAAGTAAGAAAGTCCACTCAAAATATTGATCATCTGCTCAAATTCAATAGAGAAATTTCATATCCAAAGTGTGCAAGATACGAGCACTTATTCTAAGTGGGTGCTTTGAAGTTGTAAAATCAACTTGAAGTGCTTCCTACAAATGTGAAACGCCCACTCTTATGTTCGAAATAATTCTTATTTTTGAGGAAGAAGTGAGATAATTGAGAAAGAAGCCAACTTTAGAAACATATACATACTTATAGAGAATTAGGGAACTTTTTCAACATAACTAATAATTATTAGTAATTTCTAATCAAAATTTAAAACTTTTGTCAATATGTAATTTAGGCCCTGTTCACTTCACCTTAAAAAAATAATATTCAGTAAAAATAATTTCAATTCAGTAAAATTAATTTCAGTTTAGTAACAATAATTTCAGTTCAACAAAAAACTTTCAATTCAGTATAAATAATTTTAGTTTCGTAAAACTCAGTAAAGTTAAAGAAGAAATATAATAGAAAATCAGTAAAAAATAATTTAAGTCCAACAAAAGTAAATATAGTTGAGTAAAATTAATTTCATTTCAGTAAAAATAATATAAGTTCAGTAATAATAATTTCAGTTCAATAAAAATAATTTCAGTTCAGCAAATATAAGGTGAAGTGAACGGCGCTTACTTTCTCTCTTTCTTTCTCTCTCTCTCTCTCTCTCTCTCTCTCTCTCTCTCTCTCTCTTTCTCTCTCCATGTTCTAGAATTTTCTAATGTTCTCTTACCTGTACAATTTCAGATAAGGAAACAATTGCCGTCAAAATCCATTGAAGTGTTTGTCAAAAATTTTATTTTCCTTTCTTTTCTTCGTTTTAAATCCTTGAATTTTCAATCTCTTCATTGTTAACTTTTTTGTGTACTCGCTTTAAATTTAGTGTGTTATTTCTGCAAAATAGGGTTGTGATTTTGAGTGTGAGATGTATGGTGGATTGACAGGGATTACGAAGAGAGAATGAAGAATGGTAGTAAGAAAGATGAGAATAATCTTTGACGGAGAAAAATGAGTTTGTCAAGGAGAAGAAAATAAAAGAGGGGAAAACATAAAAAAAATAAATGTGCTTAATTTTTGAGCTATACGGGTTCTTTTTTTTGTACTAAAATGTGCATAATCTTTCATATACATAAGTTACCTCTGGAAAATTTTGTAGTACTATTGAGTAGTGATTCAATGTTGAATATATTCTTTGAAGTAAAGTTGTGAATGATTCCACAGTATCTCCGAGAATATCTACCTTGAAAATAACAAACAAGTCACTATTAACCAATTAGCACATAATGTTATAATATCAATAAATTTTTTGTTAATACGCGATTATATTAAAGTTTATTCTACTAAAAAATTTATATTTATAGGTGAGACATAGAATCTATTATATTTTAGCATCTAGCATTTTGTTCTATTAAGAATTTCATTACCAAAATAAATCGTTATCTTGCTTTAATATATCGAGATTTATCTAATATATTTAAAATAACATTTAAAATTGTTATATACCTCAATTTCAGCCTTTTGAAGGTTTTGGCATCTTTGTATAAAAGCAGTCTTGTATGTAATTTGTTCTCTCTTAATATACATGATTTCATGAGTTAAAATCTTAACATGGTCATTCAATTTCTCCAACCTGCAATATGACATCAGTTAATTATAAATGATCACCATCATTTAAATAGTATGACTTTTTTTTTGTGTAATAAATATGTTAATATAAAAGAGAAATGTACAAACCTCAAATAACTTTGAGCTAACTTTTCTTGCAACATAATCCTAAAGTTATCTACTACATCATAAAACACTTGAGCACATAAAAAATCCTGATGAAATATGAAAGTAAGAAGATACCTTATTAGCTTGGTGCTATTATTTAGAATTTGTATATCATTATTATCATCTTTTTTTGTTCTGATTTCAATAAGACAAAGCTTGAAAATATTAAAAGCATATTTTGTTACCTCATTGTTTTCATTCAGGACCGTATGTGGAGACGATTTATTATCCTTGGTGTAAAATCTTGGATTGCATGAAGAATCCACATGAGCTAGTCTAAAACATGGTAAAGCGTATTTCACCTCTTCTTCAACTTTTTCAAAATCAATTTGTTCTCTTTTTATTATGTCATCACTTCTTATTTCTCTCAATTTTTCTTTGAATTCATCCAATTGTCGTAGAGCTTTTTCTAACGTAGAGTTAAATTCCATAGACGGGACATCTTTATCTATCTTTAGCCCATCATAAATTTTATCACTATGATCACCAATAACTTCGATGCAAGTTAATTTCAAGTGACTATTCTCATTTCTTAGTACACCACTCTTCCCTTGACCATAAAACAAAAATAGGGATTGAGAAATCTTTATTTTCTCAATTTCGAAGTCACTGAATGGAAAACTAAGTTCATTAATTAAGCTATAAAATCCTTTTAAATGAGTAATATTTGAACCCTTTCTCGATAATAGTTCGCAATGTTTGATTACCTCAGAAACTACACACCACTGAATATATTCTCTAATTAAATATTCGTATGTGTAATCAACACATTGTGATTTCCATAAATTAAGCATTTCTTTCAAATAAATCATTTTCAATTCCTCTTGAATTAATATAGGCATATGAGAATCTAAATCATGAATTTGATGCACTTGCTGCGAAATACCTCTCCCATCTTGTTCTCTAGTACATATAATATTTGTACGTGTAGTTGTATCTTTACACTCATTTATTAACTCCTTAAAAAAAATATATAATAATCCTTCATTAATATTGGAAACAAATGTACACTCTTCAAGATGATTACTTAATTCAATAGAATTTTTTTCTTTGTTATGTCTCATTTCCTCAATTGATTCCTTGAGAAATTTCGTATGTACATCTTCTTTAATTAAGTTTTGTACCACATATTCATCTAATCTTATATCATAATCATGTGTCAAATATTTTGAATTATTGGCTACCAAATATTGTAAGTTCAATTTTTTCATATGTTGTTCAACTTCATAATGATATCTAGCTATAAGGTCTTTATGATTAGGATCTTTTGCATTTTTTTTGTCCCTTGTTGAACATTTTGATTTTTCATGATTCACACAATTATTGCTAAAGCTAGAGTCCAAACTAATCACCCAAGTAATAATTTCATCCATTTTTCGTAAAATATTCTTAGGAATGTACTTTATTATAGTTTCATATTCATACAAAAAACAAGGTTTAGTCTTCTCAGTATCACTTTTTTCTTTTTCAGAGTCCTCATGAACATGCTGCCATAATTTGTCATCATGTATAATGATCTCCTTATGTGAGTCATGAATTTTTATATCTTTTTTTCTTTCCTCGTATGAAAATTTCACCTTTTCCAAAACATCTCGTAATAAGGTCACATCGTGAATAAAATTTGACCATGTTTGAACATATAGAGGTCTAGCTGAAACCAAATGGTTATTTCCAATATTATTTTTAACTTGTAACTCGTTGTTTACAATTTCCACAAACTCTTTCAAGAAGATTGTGAGTATATCTTTTTCTATCATACGTAACCACTGTTGTTCTAAAGGGTTATCATCATACCTTGAAATCATTTCAAAAGTTGTGTCCAAAGTTTTCTTTAAACTATCAATCTCTATTCCCATATGACCAAAACTCGTGAGAAATTCACATGTACATTCAAAATTATTATCTATCTCCTTTACATAATCGTTTTCTCTATAGGCTCCAGTTTGAGACTTAATATCTTTATCAAGCTCTATATTTTCAACAATCTTAAATGGGGAAGAGTCTAGTCCCAACCTTGCAGTTTTTGGAATTCTTTCACCTTCTAAGTGTTGTTTTATATTCCAAACATGTTGATCCATTCTATACTTTAATTCACTAATGTTTTCATAAATTTTGCTATTGTCACTTTTTTGGTACTGTTGTAACTCCTTTTCTTTAGCTTTCAATATTTGTTGCAATCTAGTCTCATTTGCGGACCTTTCAATCAATTCATTATCTTTTTCAGCTATTGCTAGCTCAGTTTCTTTCAACCTGTCTTCAAGTTTATCCTTCATTTCTAATAAGTCAAATAAAAGTCTCTCATGTGTAGTTTCAAGTATGTAATTACCTGTTTCCTCTTGGACGAACTTTAGGCAAGCTTCTAATTGCATGATGGCTAATTCATAGAACTTGGATTGCTCATTTAATCTTTCAACTATCCCATGCTTCGACTGAACTTTTGCGTGTGCCTTGTTCATTGCTGAATGCAAAATGCACATCATAGTTGAATCTGCCATAGATACCGTGAACTTGTTGTCAACCTCCATTATAAACTCATCCATTTTTTTTTTTTATTATAATTGACCTAGAAAGTAAATATAATTATTAAACTTAGAGGTTATTTAAACATAATAAATAATTAATTAAACTAATTATCACCAATAATGAATAACGTGAAAACATTGTTATTTTATTCAATAGATTTTGTGGGTATAGCTGAGATCCAAAAAACTAGTCACATTATTTGATTTTGTCCATAACAATAGGAATGAAATATATAAATAACTTTGACCTTTTCAATGATCTTAAATTTAATGTAGCATACTATATTAAGAATAAGAGAATAATAATTTTAATTTATTAAACAAATATATATTTTATGCATTGTATTAATGATTTTGTGAATAATAAAAATGTAAGATTTTTGTGCCACAAATTTTGTTATAAAGAAAAATAGTAATTTAGAGGAATAAATTTAAACAACATATTAATATATTTGTACCAAAATATGTAGATTAGTGTATATTGATGACATTTGGAACAAGGATGGACTTCATATTTTTCAAAGTGGTATTGTTTATGAGTTATAAACTTTAGTTGACAATAATGATATCTTTAATTTTTATTGAATAACAATAGAGGTACTTGATTAACACATTAAATTAGTATATTATATTTAATAAATACAATTAATTCATAATTTTAATTACCATATAATTAAGTTATATTAGGTTCTTTTCATATATATATATTTTAATTATATTATACTTCACTTTTGTTAGTTCCATAAATATTGCATCACGTTGAGTTATACACTTTGCAATAGGACTTAAAATTAATGAATCTTGTCAGTGATGATAATAATTATATAATATTAATATTGTTAACCTTATAGTATGAATAACCTAACAAAAATATGGTTTTCCTTATACACAAATCATAATAGATGCTAAATAAATTTAAATGTTGCTAAATTTATGAAATTGCCTACATAAAACTTCGTAAATGTAAATGTTATTTTATACTATCGTTGTTTTTGACAAAGTCTCCAATGTCGAATTTCATTAATGATATTTTTTGCACCTAATGAAGAGGTTTGTATTGCTATGGATACTATTCAAAGTTCATGCCGCTACATGAATCTTATTCAAAGTATGTGTTGTTGAGACTAATTTTACCAATAATTTTTTGGAACAATTATTAAGAATAATACAACCTTTCAGCTATTTTCTTAAACATGTCAACCTTTTGATTATTTCTCAATTTTACACCCTTTAGGGGGTATTCTCTTTAAACAAGTTACAACATGTTGGTAACCTATTTTAATAGGATATTGTGACATGTGTCGCTTTGTAATTCGTTAATTGGTCTTTTAAATTTATTTATTTACTTTAATTTTTTCTTAATTTCTTAAAAAATAAATAAATCCCTCCTCCCTGCGACTTCAACTACAACCATTAGCCTGCCTTTTCCGCCTCACTCCTTCCTTTAGCTCCTTACCACTTACTCCTCTTCAAACTTAGCCACCGTCATAATACACCTACCAACTACCGCTAGTCAAAGGACTCCCTTTGACCATTACTATTGATGTCACCTTCCTAAAGTATTTCATTAATTTGTAAAGAAATGAACTTTTCTCCATTAGTCATATCTTTTCCAAAGTCACGTTTAAGCTAGAAGTACACAACGTCAAGAGTGCTGGTGAAGATATTGGTGAGAAAAGGGAATATGAGAAGAAAGCTAGGGTTACTGGTGGTCATACATGGAGGGAGGGAAAAGATGACTATGGGGGAAAAGGAAGGAGGAAGATAATTAGATAACAATAGTTATGGAGGAGAGGGGGGGGGGGGGGGAGGTGAGGTTTTAGATAAAAAGGAAAATTCACATTGTTACCACTCTAGATTTTGCTTTTCCCAATGGTACACTATTAACTTTTTACCTTCCCATCGGTACACCTGTAGTTTATGTTTTTCCCCAACCGTGACTAACATTGTTAATATAATTAGCCAATGGCACTAAAAAAAAATCTTAATCGGTGTTAGTCACAGTTGGAAAAAGACTAACTAAAGGTGTACTGGTGGGAAGGTAATAAGTTACGTCAATAGTACACTAATGGGAAAATTCAATTCTATAGTGGTATTAATGGGATTTCCCTAAGAAATAAAATTAAATAATAAATAATAGATAATAAATTAATTAAATTAAATAAGTTAGCTTAGACTAATTATATGATGACGCGTGTCATGGTTAACTTAATTTACTGGTCACAATTTTTTGACCTATTTAGAGTAAATACCTACTTGATGAGTGTCATTTATGGCACTCATATGGTAGCATCTAGGACGTTTTACTTCTCTTTTATAGCTTTCCTCTTTAAATTTAAAGGAATGGTGTCCTTCGAACAAGTGTATTATTCCAATAGAAGGTTCGGAATTAATTAGAAATATAATTATTAATTGAGGTCAAGTGATCGGAATGCCTAGCTGGAGGCCGCTTTCGATTAGTAATATTAATAAATAATTAATATTACAGCTAAATCTTGACTGCACCGTTCCGGTCACACCTAATCGTGTAACAGAACCAAAATGACAAATTAATCCGAAAGATTAAATATGCCGATAGAGATTTTACGAACTAAGACGTCGAATTCTGAGCTTAGAGCATTGACACCGAGCGTTAAGCGTCGAGTCAATTTTAGGAATCAAATGACGTATCGTGCTAAACTTACAAGGGTAGCACGGGTCCTAGCCACGCCTCGGATCAAAGGCAAGTGGCTAGGGGCCGCAAGCACCGAAGCACCAAGCCACCGCAAGGCCCAGCTAGGCTGGCCGTTGCGTGTGGGGCTAGCTGGGGTAGCTTAGTAGGTCTGCGCGCCAAGGCAGCCTAGCAGGCTTGCCTAACAAGCAGCCAGTGCTCGCGACGCTGCTGTTGGGCCTGTGCTGATGTTGTTTCGTGTTGCGGTAAGGCGCATGGGCCTGCTACTAGGCGTGGGCTTGCGGCTAAGGCCCAGCAGGCCTAGCCTTGTGGCGCAAGGCTGGCAGCGTGGCTGGCCTTGCTGCCCCAAGGCCGGGCAGCTGCCCTAGCTGGCCGAAGTGGGTGGGGCAGCTCTTGCCTTGTTCTTCAAGGTCAAGGTGGTCCTCCCACCTACTCCCTCTTTGTGTGATGACACTTGTCATTTGATTATTATTGCATGGATTTTAATTTAATATAGAATTCAATTAAATCTATATTTTTCATTTTTATTAACTATCCCGCATCGAAAGATGATGGGAATTCTTGGGAACAATTCCCTGTAAATACCAATCATTTGGCATTTGGGACTTTCACTTGAGTTGGTGAACTTTAAGGGATCTCCAAAAAAGAAAAAAACCTTATTTTGCAAACTCTAAGTTGTTTTGGTCTAGCCTTGACTAAGCTTTTCGAGGTAGGGACCGGTAATGATTCGGTAGCGAGGGTGTGAGCCGTTGGAGGTTCTTGTACTTGCGGAACCAGAAGCTTTCAAGTCGGAGCTCAACGGTTGAGCGAAGCACGCTGCTAAGGTGAGCATTCTTTCTCTCTCTTCTCTCTCTTCTCTTATGTTTAATGTTTATTTGCATGTTTTTATATATGTTGTAAATATTATGCATGTGATTCGGTTATCGTGTTTTATTTCCGCGTGGTGTAGGACACCGCAAAACCCAACAGCGCTATTAGAGTCTCTTGAATTTAATTTTTCAACTAAAAATTAATTAAGGTGATTTTAAATGGATTTAAATTTCTGATTTTGCTTCCTAATTAGAATAGGAGCTCGTTTTTAATTGGGTTAAAATAGTATTTATGTTATTTTTGGCTTACGAACTCCGATTTTGACTGAAAATTAGTGAATTTTTGGTGGAATCGACGTTCTAAATCATTATTTATCCACAAAGTGATTAAAATTGACCTTCTAGAAGCCAAAATCCACCTAGAAAGTGGTTTTTTAAGGGGTTTTTCGTTTTAAACGAATTTTTTTAAATCTTTAAACCTTGATTAATTATGGCATGGAATTGTTGGATTATGTGTTTGATTATACCATTAATCTTCTTTAATTTTAACCTTCATTAAGCATGTTTCTGAAGTCATAATTGGTGCTTAATTTGGTTAGCTATTATTTTCACATAAACTTGCAATTTCACATTTTTGCAAATTAATTGCTTGGAGTGTGAATGTTTATGGTGTAAATGTATTTTTGAAGCCCCTAAAATGTTAATGATTCAATATTTATTCAATTATTTGGTTGGATCTTAACTTTCTAAAATCCATAATTAACAAATTTTTGGTTTTAATCATTTTTTAGTTGATTAAAATCTAAAAATGTTCACACTTATGCTTGAAAAATTATTGTTCTTCATATTGGAAGATTACAATATTCAAATGTGCACAAGTGAGTGTTTGATAAAACATTTTCATTAGATCAATGATTATTTATTCAACTATTTTTGTCAAATCTCATTATTAATTTATGTAGGTTAAATTAATTGTGAGAATAACCCTCAATTTTGGTAGCATCAAGTTGAGCCAAAAATAATTTAGAGAATGGTTTTTGAATTAATTCTGGTTTGTGAACTAAAATTGTAATTTATTTAAGTTGGACTTGTTTTATACTCATATTGCTTAATATTAGTTCTAAAAATAATTTATAATTAATTTTTATGTCACACACAACATCGGAATAAAATTCCGAAGCACAAGCACGTAAAACGAGGCATCAAGCCTCTAGCACAACCCTCGGCTAATTGAGCTGCTTGCGCAGCCCGCATGTGGTTGTCGAGGGAGTGCACCGTGCTGTTGCGTGTGTGCATGCGAGCAGCAACAACTTAGTGCGGAGATATGCAGCTAGGCAGTGTGCAGCTCGCAGAGCGTAAACTAGGGCCAGCACATGCATGCGTGCAAGCACGCTGCTAGCGCCAGCGTAACGCAAGCTACGACACTGTCAGCGACTAGAAGGTCACTTGACGCTGTTGTGCTTGTGCGAGCAGCACCCACGCATAGCTACGGGGCCTTGGTGCCTAACAAGCCGAGCCTTGTG